GGGGGAGGGGGGAGAACAGGAGTGATGAAGAAACAATCCGAAGGGGAACGCCAAGGGCACAGCATGTGAGAAGGAGGGCCGTGAGCGAGGAGAACCGAAAAAAATGCGTGGACAGGGCGCGCGCGCGCCTGAGCGCCAGGCGCATTACACCACGCACTTGGTGAAGATAAAGGGCACAAGATGGCCAATGTGCATGGAGTCCGAGCTGGGGCCGCGGCCGGTGTACAGGAAAACCGGATCACCACGCTCCTTGGCGTCCAGCAGGGCCTCCAGATCCCGGTGGGAGAAGAAGACCCCGCGACGGAGGAGCCGGTGCGCCCGGTGGCCGGTCACGCGCTCCAGGCGCTCGATCAGCTCCGGCGAAATGTGCTTGCTGCCGTAATCGCGCACGAGCTTCTCGTAGTCCACATTGCCGGACACCTTCCAGGGGTTGACGACCATCTCCTCGGAGTCGGCGGCAGCGGCAGCATCCGCGGCAGCGGCGGCGGCGGCGGCGGTGGTGGTGGCGGCGGCGGCAGGCACGTCCGCGGGGGGAGTGTCGGGGGCAGAGGTCATGGCGGCTGGCAGGGGGGAGGGGGGCGACAGGGCAGACACCACAAGCGGGCAGCAAAGAAGGGCAGGGCAAGGGGAGGGGGTGGAGAGTGGTGGCCTGAGCCACCGGCCATCCGCCATGGGAGCCCTTGAGCCGGGCCGGCAGCCCTTCCCCCGGCCTCTTCGCCCGTCACCATCCCCCGCGGCAGATCCCGGCCACGAGGGGGCGCCAGGAGGGAACACACGACAGCAGGACCCCCCGCCCCCAACGCACTCGCTCTCGCTCTCGCTCCCGGAGGCGGAACGCCGGCCACCGAGGCGCCTGCGCCAGCATCATTGTGCACCCGCGCCGATCGCTTTGGTAAGGGGATGTTGGCGATGTCTGCAGGCACTCCCCCCCCCCCGTGTGGGGGCCCAGCTCTCCGGAGGGCTGGCCCATCTGCGCATGCCGCACACACACACACACACACACACGCACGCACGCACGCACGCACACATGCTGCAGAAGGGGGGGGGGGGGGGCGGGCCCACGCCATCTCCTTTTGCCTGGACGCGGGGAAGGTGCACACCCAACACGGGGGGGGGGGGGGGGGCGACCCGCCCATTGGACGCACATTGGGGCGGCCAAAAAGGACCGCAGCATGGGTCAACACAGTGTGCGAAGGAGCAGGGGAGACCGGACGCGGCTATTCGGGGCTAGATGGCTGCCCGGCCTCACGACGGCCCGACCCTTGGGCTCACATGTCGAACGGGCACGGCATGAGTCAGCTGCCGTCCAATGGGACCATGGTCACGCGACGTGCCCCTGCTCCGCCGCCGGGCCTGCTACGGCCCCTGTTGTTTTTGGCCTCGGCGGAGAGCCAGCAGCAGGCCGGCCCCC